TTAAGGTAAGGAAGCTCAAGTCAAACCCGACAGGTTTATTGCTAATGCATGATGATGTTTCGGACTGAATTTTACTTGTAAATTCTGGCTCTCTATAGCAGTGGATGAACAAATGCATAAAGGCTGTGGCAAACGAGGAAACATTGTTGTGGAAGCATTGTTGCGGACGCAAATGTTTCGGCGAGCAAACGGGAAAACATTTGGAGCGGACGCAGAAACATTTTTGCGTCTCGGACGCAAAATTTGCGTCCGCAACAAATGTTGCGTGCGTGGGCAAACGGGGAAACATAAGGATACTAAAATACGTGCTAGTTACTAAAGCCTAAAGCTAAATCATTGTGCTTACACAACATCTATCCAGGACATTTTCTTCATTTGTAATTCAGCGTTCAAACGCTCTTACAAGTCTGACAAGTTTGCAGCCGTTTTTCTACTAACATTTTAGCCGCCGAATATAATTCAGCCTGAAGGCGTCTTTTTATGCTGTTTGGTTAAATGTTTTATGTATGTTGGCTGGCTTGAGGCAATTAACACCGAATTTATTTCACATCGTGTCTGTATGAAAGCTAGGAGACAATGCCATTTCATTCATAATTTATATATCAGTGCGCAATTAAAAACATTGCTATTATTAGAAAGAAGTTTCGTGAACCGTCACTTAATGCATTTTGCATCCTAGCACTTGTAATGAAGACCCCATGTCGAGAAAATTTCCAAACATCACAGCGGCTCGTAAATTGTTGTTAAAACATGTAAGGTTTCTGTCTAGCTGATCTCGAGTTCAGTTTTTCATCGCTTCATCACTGAAACACTGCTTTAGCTTCCTAGCTAATACAGGTATGGTCAAATTCAGTATTTGAAACTTCAGTAGGCTACGTATCAGTTTTAACATATATACAGACTAATAGCCAATTGAACTTTGGGTATACAAGTAAACAACTCAGACAACCGAAACATTGAATGTCGATTTTAATCGTATTTATACATGTCAGCATAACGGAGTATTTCTACGTTTCTAGTCACAAATGTCAACGTTTCTAAAGAGCAGCTTTCGTTTCCATGGAGTGCATTGGTGAAAAATACACACAAAATGGTCGGACTAGTGTGAAATTTGTGCATTTGGCATCATGAATTATCAATGTTTATCATTTATTTATGACACTTAAACACAAGAAAAGTTCTCATTAATATTTTCTAGCTCCAGTAGCTCGATCAGCCCTTCTCATACAACAGTAAAACCAACACTAACAGCCAGTTTTTTTGCGAACACGAACAGAACACTACTAAGGCGGACAGCCGTATGCATTTTAGTTTACTCTATCTAACATTACTGTGGCGCGGTGGCTAATGGAGAGATCTGGCTGCAAGCCCTGCCTGGAATCGCTGTGTTGTGTTCTTTTGGCAAGACACTTTACTCACACAGTGCCTCTCTCCACCCAGGAGTATAAATAGGTACCGGCAAACTGCTGGTGGTAACTTACGATGGACTAGCATCCCATCCAGGAGGAGTAGCAATACTCCTATAGTCGGCTTCATGCGAAAGAAACCGGGATAAGCTCCGGCAGTGTGGGCCACTATGGCCCGAGTGCGGCTTTACCTCTGTTGAGCTACTAGGTTTCGAAAAGGCTTTACCGTTTACTTTTAAGACCTTTTAATACTGATCTAACATGCAGTTACAAAATCAACAAGCACTTCCCAAGTATTTTGACGAGAACAAATACTTTAATGCGAATGGATAACTCCACTTTATTAGCTTTGTAAACGATAGCACTATATCATAGTACTATACAGCCGTAAAAACCCACGTATAATGAACCCATTTTCCTAGGTAGACTGAAATGGTTCTTATATCATGTATATACTTGGATGTCAAGTGAGAAAAGGCAGGCTGTTTAGGTTCTTAAACAGGATCTTATGTTGACAGGGTACACAGCTTGGCCGTAAAAGTGATTTAATATGGGTGTATCCATATATAGTAAAACATCGATTTTCAGGCTGAATTATTACACAAATTAGTCCCTTGGTACGACAACAAACTAAACTTTGTATATTTTGGTCTAAGCCTCACCCCTGTGTTTTCTGAGTTTTACTTAATTTTTCCAAATAAAACCTGCTTCATTTGTCAGGCTGAAGTGGTTCTTATATATTGGGGGTTTAATTTGTCAAATTTCAGCCTGCAGATTCTTAATCCTCAGTTTCTTATACGTGGGTTTTTGCTGTATTAAAATAATGTGCCGTAAGCGAGTCACATCACACAGTGACGTCATCTATGCGTCTGTCCTCTGATAGGTCATCTGGAAGAACCAATCACGACACGCGCAGCATCTCAATAGCCCTTTTCACGGTTAACTTGCGATATTTGCATAACAATACACTTGAACATAGAAGCGAGGCAATTTCGGGCACAAGCTGCAAAACATCGTGCTTTTCTTGAACTCCTTGAACTCTTTTGGTATAAAAACAGTTTTAAAATGTAGAAGAACTACAATTCTTTTAGTTTACGTTGTTTTTAGAAAAAAATGTAAAACGACTTTTCTCTATTAATAAAGAGTAGACTCGCATAAGCAACGGGGAGATCGGATTACGATCTTCACAGCAAACTTTAACTAAAATAGTTGCATATTTAGTTCTTCTCCGTTTTAAAACTATTTTTATGCTAGCATAGTTCAAGGAGCTAAAAAAAAATCACGATGTTTTTGCAGCTTGTGCCCGAAATTGCCTCGCTTCTATGTTTAGCTGTATTGTTATGCAAATATTTCAGGTTAACCGTGAAAAGGGCTATTATTGTGTAAAGACAAATGATTGACGCTTGACTTTTTAAGCCTTCTTCTTCGTTTGTTAAAAGTTATTAGCACAATATTCAAGAGAGAAGGCGCATCAATGATGTGTTAATTTTTATCCGGCCTAATTGAAATGTTGTATAAAAAAGCTGACACGTTAGTTTATTAACTTCAATTTCGTAATTGTAGTTGTTTCAATCACATGAACTGCTATAACTGCTTCCAGGCTACATCATGATCAGGTATGAATTTAGTTTTTGTAATTTCAGTTCTTCCATTCTTAATGTTATAATATAGTTTTGCTTTTGTTGTCATCTTTTTAAAAGTTTTTGTGTATATACAAGTTAGCAACTCAGATTCAGTTGTAATATTTATATATTTGTCATACATATTGGCAGAATTCTGCATGACACTGGGCTAGCTAGCTTGTGAAACGACAGTGACAAAAGTTTTATCCTCAAACGTTTCTAACCGGATGATGAAATCTTCTAAAGTGTGTGTTGTTCTCATTATATAACTGTGCACTGTTCAAAATTCAAAAACCGGAGTATATAACATATACAGTCCTAGCACAAAGTGAAATTTTCCATTTTCCATTTTCAGAATATTCAGTCATTTATATATGACACATCACAAAAAAAACTATTTTTCTACACTGAATAGCTAGGGTACTAAACTGAAAGCTTTTTACTTGGCAAATTTTAGATCTCAAGTAAGCCTCGGCGAACTCCTTATTGAATTTTATGAGGCCAAGCTGTGATTTGATGATAAAACCGCTTAGCATATCTCAAACTTGCTTCGTGTTGTGAATAAGCTGAATAAGTTAACAAACTAAAATATTACTGAGTATTGTAACTCACAGCTTTATTAAACAATGCGATAAATTATCAAATGTTTTAGGAGGCAACTCCTCAAAGATGGTTCCCTTTCTTATAAATTATCTTCCAAAACTACTAAATAGATCATTTTGCAGCCTTCGGTTTTACGTGATATGAATTAATTTGAATATTACAGTGCTCAAAAACACAAGCTGTTTAAACTCAAAAGCTGTTCTTCTTGACAGAGCTTTGCACAATAAACATTAATAGACGAGTGTTAATGTTAATTTATAGGCGCAAAGTGTCGTGTGAACATCTCTATAGTTTGAAGGGAAAGTGTGAAGATAAAATATCTTAGGCCCAGTTCAGACGCCGTACTTCACATGAGCCGAATCGAATTCGATGAATTAAGTTCGTGTGAGGTACGGCGTCTGAATCAATTCGGAACGGCTGAATCAATTCGGATCGGCTCAGCCGTTCTTCCCGCCTGGCTCAGCCGAGAATAATGGCTGTGGACCGGCTTTGATTCAGACGCCGAACTTTCACATGAGCCGAAACAAATGCATTAATTAGTATAATGTATTTTTCAATATAACAGCAATTTTCCCCTATTAATTTAAGTTCGGCTGAATTAAGCTCGGCGTCTGAATCAATTCAGTCGATCTAAATTAATTTGGGTCGGCCTAAATTCGAATTCGATTCGGCTCATGTGAAGTACGGCGTCTGAACTGGGCCTTAATTCATCGAATTCAATTCGGCTCATGTGAAGTACGGCGTCTGAACTGGGCCTTAATTATGATGTATAAACCGGTGTGTCTAAAATTCCGACCATCCAAGATGAAGAAAGCTTTACACGAATTGTGATATGATCAGTATGTTTATTTGTATTGTTTTAGCTTATATTTAGTCTTTTGTTTAGTTTTTTGTTTTAATGTTTTAATTTTTTTTGCATGAATAAATAAATAAAATACTTTTACAAATCTGATAAAATAGAGACTAGTATATATGTCAAAACAAATGCCATGTAAAAACTTGTAAAAACATGGTCACAATAACTCTCAAACTTGCTAAAGCCACCAACGTTAGTTGCCTTTTACGTCACGGGGCTTTTTAATTCGTCCCCAGGCCCCATTTCGTTTCTTATGTGGTCACCATTCTTGCTTTTGAACCAAACCAACGACATAGTAAAGTAATACTAGCACTTGTACTTAATTATTATTGTCGGCTTTTGAAGCCATTATGGTTGATCTGTTATGCTTATAAGATATCTCTCTGAGCCGTGATGTTGGTCTGCTAATGTAATGAAGCCGTCAGTAAGATTTCACTATCACTGCAACTGAGATTCAATCTATTAAATACATGAAAGATCATGAAGACTATCACAGAAGCCAGAAGAAAATTCAGGCTTGAACGAGATTCAACCCATGACCTCCGCGATACCGGTGCAGTGCTCTCAGTAGCAACTGAGCTATCCAGCCAACTGGGAGCTGGTCACTTTGTGAGTTCGTAATATAACCGTAGAGTAGAAAATGAAGATATATGACGGTATATTCATATACAGTGAACTCTCTCTAAGACGGACACCATCGGGACCGGCACAAACTGTCCGTCTTAGAGAGGTGTCCGCTTATAGAGAGTTTAGATACAGCAACATGACTGAAAAATGGCGCGCAGGGACCAGCACCAAGTGTCCGTCTTACAGAGGTGTCCGTCTTATAGAGGTGTCCGTTAAAGAGAGAGTTGACTGAGTTCACTTCATATATCTTCTTCTTCTACTGGTAGACAGTACGAACTCACAAAGTGACCAGCCCAGCTCAGTTGACTTGATAGCTCAGTTATGGGATCGAATCCCGTCAATCGAGCCTAAATTTTTTCAGGCTTTCTTTTCGTTAAAGGAGCTATGTCACGATATTTTAAGTCATTTTTTGCGAAGTGCAAAATCGCCTTCAAATTGAAGAAAGCTCCAAAATAATAGTTTTACTAAGGTAGAAAAACACCAGAGGCGATAATAAACCAAACAGGAACAAGGATGGTCGAGGATGGAGAAGATGAAGACGGATTGCGAATGGCGAACTTGAAAAAAAAATGGCCATTTTTTTCAAGATGCGCCATCCGTGACATAGCTCCTTTAAGTTGCATACATAACTGCGATGGTCTCTCATGTATTATAGTGCGACGCGCCTTACCGTAGCCACCCAACAAACCTTTTTACAAGTGTCCTCTCGTAATATTATAACTTTTGTTGATAAATACGATGTGACAAGTTTCCATTTGATCGTGTTCAACTTTGCAAGGAGGCGTGTCCATCCAACAAATTATAATATTTATACGAGAGGACACTTGTAAAAAAGTTTGTTGGGTGGCTGCGGTAAGGCGCGTCTCACTGTAAATATTTCTGACCCGCAGTTCAAATATATGACATTTCATATATTCTATGAGATATCGATGCATGATCGGAATGCCATGATTGGTCCACTTATCTGACGTTTATTCATACCCTTAACACCTGAATAAGATAATTTTTCTTAAAGTCGTGATTCGAAATCCAAAAAAATAAGTACATGTTAAGATCCCCACAATTTCTTGATTTCAATTTCCAGTAATGTTTTTCGAAATTTTGCACAATTTCAGGCTTTGTATTCATTCAAAGTTTTCATTTCTAACTAAAACTTATTACTCAAAAGCGACGCTGCTGTTTTTTAGCCCCGTGGTTTTTCTGATTTCCACTGAAATTAGTAGCAAAGATAGGTAACTGATGAAATGAAACGAGGGAATATTCTTACTACTGAAAGAGTCCCGAAAGCGTTTCAAAATGCGAATAGAATTTCACTCTGAATGCAAATTACATGGAATATCGCACCATCATCTATTTTCCGTAAAATACTAATTTATGATTCTTTCATTGAAGAAAACCCCAAATTGAATATTTTAATCACGAAATTGCAAGGAGCAGTGAAATCTTGTGTTAGAGATCTGACGCATGCTTTGTGGGCGAATAAAATCTTCTATGATTGATCCTTTTATTTCTATCCACTTCAAGAGTTTGCCAGTATTATATTTGGAATCAAATCGTCAGAAAATGCTATATCCAATATCTGCAACCATATACCGAGAGATGATATTTACTGCAGTTATCTTAATAACATCGATCTATTTATCTTACTGCGCCCATTTTGCACTGATTTATCGCACCTATAGATTGGCCTTCAAACGAGCCCGTCGTACAAATAACAACGCCCATTCTAATTTGTCTAGCAAATGGCGAAAAGTTTGCACTTGTGTCTTCAACAGTTATAGTTCTTTTATGTAGTAAAGAAAAAAAGTTAATTGAGTTTCATTTCTTTTCTAAAGAAGTTCACCCTATGGTATCTTGACATTTCAGCGGGGATTCGAAATCATATTCGTTATACTCTCGGCGGGAAACACTACAGGTATTCAGTTCCACGAAAATTCAGTTAGACAAAATATTAGATATTATATACAGCGCAGTTATCGGCAAATATCAAGCAATTTAAATACGCTTTTGTACCTGATTCGTGAGCTCGACTAAGATACGGACGTCCTCGACATAAATATTCAATTTTATTGCAAAGATACAACGGAACAGCTGCGCGAAAGTAATTCACTGCCTCGACATTTTTAATTTCCAGAAGACCATTGCTGAGAAGAATGCTAAGCTCGCGCCACCTCTTTGGTGTTGTTCTGGTTTCTCTTTGGATTGCAAGCACGTGGACGAAAAAACGTAAGTAAATAAATGTCGTATCTGTTCAAATAATTCTTGTATGGACTTCTAACGAGTGTATTAGCACGGTCTAGCCGTGCTACGTGTTTAAAAGTCATAATGTACAAGCCCATGTGTTGAATTAAGTTCTTTTCTCGTAAAACCGTTTTTCCTCGATGTTCTCAAAGTATTTATGAATGTTTTCCAAACATATGTGACGTACGACTTTTTCGTTGAACGTATGAAAAAATAAACGGAGAAAATGAGTTTCCGTGCCGTTATAAGCGAAGACAATTTTCATCGTCAGCCCCCCATCGACATTAAGTATTCCACAACTGATAAGCTAGCAGGAAATAATATATAATACTTTTTAAATTCTCAAGGCTCCTATACGCCACGTTTCAAAGTATAAAGTACACCCATGTATTCCAGCCATCGTGCTTTGAACACTTTCGATGCGAGAAAATGGCGCAGATTTCGCCGGACTAAGTGTAATCCTGTTATGAAAAAATATCGTTTTTCTTAGCAATTTTCGGTCGTTAAATCAGCGACATCTGCGCAATGTTTTTCTCAGTTTGATATCAATTTGAATCGAAGTTCGTTTCTGCTGTGAATACGCCAGGTTTTTCTTTTTTCATTACAAATTGAATAGCCCCATGCAAATTATCAGTTGAATTTTATTCAAACTGATTTCTTTCCAAATCCACCCGATATCTTTAGCTTATATCACTTACCCCATCTTCATATGTTGTTTGAGGGGAATTTAGCATAAAAATCACAAATTTCACGGATTTGTAGCTTTTTCATTTACCTGATAAATAGCCCATCAATGAGATGATTGCGGTTTGTTAATATCTTTTTTACGATTATATCATAATCCCCATGAGATATTATATAGAAATAATTTGAATCATATATGAGAAGTGCGAATTGTTTAAAGTGATCTTGGCATTTATCATGCAACCTCTTTCAGAGGAATAATACGAAGATCAATTTTCCACTAAGCACATAATTCGTCCTCGACAGACCTTTCTCCAATTAAGTTGATAAATGGGCGACATTTGTCAAATTTAGCTTGCGGTAAATTATCTGAAATGACATAGGTAAATTGCACAGATAATTTATAAGTGCGGTGTCTATATAATCCAAGATTATATTTGCATGCATGCCATACAACTGCCGAATAAACGATTCGTTTTGTTTCCTCGCCTCGATTATGTTCTATTTTTCTTCCGGATTTTTCTTAATCCTTCCACTCCCAAAAGTTAAAAATTGAGAAAAAATTATAACTTTCATTTTGCAATATATTGAAAAACAACAGCACCACGTGAAAGTGATGCTTGATAGCTTTTTAATTTGAATGGGCACACACTAGGGCTCCGCCCACACACTCAAAAGTTAGAAACACCTTATTGTACAGAATAATAAACAGTACCACTTGAAAGTACTGCTCAATAGCTTTCATTTGAAGGGTTTCATCCACAGACCTAAAAGTTAGAACCACCTTGTACAACATAATAAACAGCACCACATGAAAGTACTGCTCAACAATTTTTACTTGAATGTGACAAATCTATGGTGAAACAAAGAAAGATCAGCTTGTTTCCATCCAAGAAAATAATAAATAAGTAGATTAGACAGATCTCTGAATATCCGAGATATTTTATTCGCTCACCAGAATCCTGTCCGTTTGTGACGGAAAACAATAAGTGCTGCAAGCTGCCATTTCAGTTTAACAATCGCAACTACACCGAGTGCACAGCAGACGTGACCGACGAGGACTGGAAAGAGCAATGGCGGAAACCCTGGTGTTTCTCTGAAAGTGATGCCAGCATGAAGTATCCCTGCCTCCGGAACAGTGAGTTTTACGTTCTATTGCGTTAACATCTGGACTAGGGATGAGGGGAGAAGGACGGGGGGGGGGGGGGGGGGGGGGGGGGGGGGGGGTGAAAATGTAAGCTGTCATTTTAAATTATTAACTGACTATCACGGAAAACGCAGATAACGCCATGAGCCAATCCGAACACGAAGCACACATATGCAACCGGTATCAAGCGCGGAAAAATCTTTGGTTTTGCTTCTGATTGGTCGAAAGAAATGGCATGTTTGCTGTGATTGGTTACAACACTTATCACGGACTCTTTGAGTCAATTAGAGACTCCAGCAAAAGCTAAGTCCAAGACATGTAAGCCGTGCCAAGCGCGGGAAAATGCGCGCAAGGAACGACACGTTTGGTTTTGGTTCTGCTTCTGATTGGTTGAAAGAAACAGCATGTTTGCTGTGATTGGTTAGAGGCTTAGAGCACTTAGCACGAGCTTTTTGAACCATTTAGCGAGTCCAGCAAAAGCTAAGCCAAAGTATTCACATTTCACTGTGTTTTTCCACTGCAGGTTACAGCTGTGGCGGGGTCCGTACACAAGTGGCCGGCGTTTTCTCGTCTTCTAACTTTCCTCAAAACTACAGAAGTAACACCACGTGTATCTGGAAGATAACTGTTGATTCAGCCAATCACATCACGTTAAATTTCACGGACTTTGATTTAGAAAATAGTAGCAGTTGTGAGCGTGCGTACGTTCGGGTGTATGATGGACTGAATATTACCCACCCCTCCCTCGGGACATTCTGCGGCAGTGACATCCCGATGGCCATCAGGTCAAGCGGGAGTCAGATGTTGGTGGTATTTCAGTCGAATCACGGAGATAAGTTCAAAGGTTTTCGCGCTTATTATGATTCTGGTAAGTGCTTCCGACAAACGGC